TTTTGTAAATCTTCAAAAGGATCCAATAAGTCTGTTGAGCTGCTAACCTACTAACCTATATTCGAGATAGGTAACCAGAAACCAAATTGGACAGTTAACATTTTCACCTGTACATACCTCAAAAGTGCCTAACCTATGCTTGAATAATTGTTAACTTGTAATGTTATATAATGTCATTAAAGAGTTTAACTAAGCAACAAAAAGTAGAAACAAAATTTTGTTATTTTTACTGTAAAACTGGTACTTAAAACAACTGTTTGTTAGAATTTACGAAAATTTAGCAAGAATAAGGTAACCATTTCAGAACAGATCAAAATAATGCCATCAAAATGGATTCAACTTTAGTGGTGGTTAGTGTCAGAGAGGTATAAACATCTACTTTAAGTAATTACAAAGTTTATTTAGTATTTGAAAATTAAAAGCTGACAGAGATATAGTAATGAAAAACTACTTATAAAGATTACAGATCTTCTTTAAAATAATCCTGAACTATCCTTACCATTAGCTTAAAAATTGTTGCCAAGTACTGTTGTAGCAAGAAAGGAGTTTTCATTCCCAACTTGTCTTAAACTACAGCTTCCTTCATGACTAACTTTATCTAACTTTCTAAGAGGAGAGAAAAAAGTGAAGGGGTACCCAACAGGAATTCTTTTTTTTACTTTTTTTTTGTTTGCTATTGCTTCTGGATGTAGAAATTCTCAAGTGATTAAACAATCAAATAAATTTTAATTAACATTAATGAAAATTTTTACACTATTTAAATTGTTCAGGCTGTTGTCCTCATCTTTATTGTCATATTCACAATGTTTCACTCATTGTATGCTTTGGCCTTCTTTGGGTAACCATATGTGGAGGGAAAAGGGAAATCATTGCCCTGTGGGATGGGGTTGAAATAATAGAGAACATTACTGGAAAACATGAAAACTTTTGGAATCAGCACATATCCTAGGCCACAAAAATCTCTTAAGCCAGCCAAGCATAGACAAGAATACAATATGGAAACCAGTAATACAGAGTGTGAGACAATGACAACAAATTGTAATATGAGCTCTGGTAGAAAGATGATTACTGAGACATTAGGTTTAAGTCCCAAAAATTCATTCACTGAACATACAGTCCAGTGGATAAAGGCAATGTTTGAAGTATTCCAGTTATGAGTTCAACCTGGCCAGAGCGGAGGTGGGGGGAAAAAAAAAAAAAAAAAAAAAAAACTTGGAGAATTGAGTTACTAAAGAGCGATATCCAGAAAAGGCATGGCCTGTGGAACTAGAACAATCTATCCCTATAAAGGGTTCAGTTCAAAATTCCAACAAGTATCTCCTGAAGAAGGGTGGAGCGCACAATGACCAAAACGTGAATATGACAAAGAGAGGCCAACAGTTCGAACAATGTAAATATCTGCAATACCTCAGAAATATTGATAGATTAGTGAAATAGATATTTTCAATAAGAGTCTTTAAGACAGTAGCCATTCTAAAGTTATATAATTTTTGTCTGCCCAGCTACAAGAAGTGGAGTTTATTTTCAGATTTATCTAAAACATGAAAAGAAATATCGAATATGTTGTATCAACAAGTAGCAAAGTTTCAAAATTGGATATGCAATTTGAAAGTGGAGAGTACAATAATTATCAATTCAATCAAAACTATAATTAACATAAAATATCAAACCCATCTTGAATGACATGACATTGCAAAGGGGTAGTTGAAAACTTCTCAGCACAACTTACTGAAATCTGAGCAAATACAAGGATTTGAGAACAGGATCTCTTTTTGGTTAAATAGAGGGTATTTCAGTGTTCCCTTTATAATAATTGAATATTTCCATTATTTATTTTTTTATAACACACACATTGAAGGGGGAAGCAAACATTCTAAAGTAATCATTAATATATAAAGCAGAAAGGCATCATCCTATGTATTGTGTATTAGGTACTCATACTTTGAGTTAACTCAAAGTATCAGTACCTAATCCTGCAGAACAGTGAATAAAAGAAAAAAAAAATGAAAATTTTAAATTTGCTTGCAGACATTTAATAAGAATTAAATATTAATTATCACAGCAACTTAACTAAATAATAAAGGGTCTTCAATCTTATCTTAAAAATTCAATCACTAATAAATTTTAGTAAAAACATATGCTTTGATGTTTTTTTAAAGACATATAAGCAATTTTAGCAAACTTTACAATATTTTTTTAAAAAATATTAGGAAGTTGAAAGCTAAATAATGCTGATATCCAACTTGATCATTTTATAAGATATGAGATTCAACAGTTACAAAGCATTAAAATAAAAAACATATTAAAAAGTGGTAAAACCTATAGCTTAATCACATAAGATAAAAATGGGATAAAAATACTCATTTTTAACTTTTTTTTTTTTAATACACTTCTACTTATAAAACTTGCATCTCATTTGGCTCAGGAGAAGGAATAAATGAGGAGAAAAAAAGTTCAAATATTTTAAATGCCAAAATTATGCAGGAAAGTTAAATTATACCAGCGAAAAATATTTGTAAAATAAAATTAAATAGAATTTTTGATGGAAATCAAATTATGTTTTTAATAAAAAACTTTTGTGTGAAAGTTTTTTTTTTTCTCAGGAAACTTCAAATAAAAGTGTCATTTTTTTAAGTAAATAAAGATGAAAACACATTTCAAAAGATATAAAATTTTAAGAAATACATTAATTTCATAGTAACAAATTTAAGTTTCATAAAAAGAATATTTACATTTTTTAAGTCTCAGTTATTGAAAAGATTTATTTTTGTTTATGCAGTATGCTACACAAACAAAAATAAATATTTTCAATAAATGAAACTGAAAAATGATTTTATGGATTAAAACATTATAAAAATAAATTGTTGTAATTTAACTATCTCACCATGAGGACAATTTGCAGCACAAGGTCATTTTTTTTTTTTATGTAAAGAAATCAAATGTGATATTGGCAGAAATTTCATATTCATATAATCATTTTTTTTTTTTTATTTTTTATAAAAAAAAAAAAAAAAAAAAAATAAAATTAAAAAAAAATTGTCTTAAAAGAGTCTGGCAGAACACCAACGTAAATTCATTTTGTATTTTTATTACATAATTTTGATTATAATTATTAAATTAATAATTTATAATATTAAATGGGCAAATTAATGTTTAAAAAGAAATTGATAAAATTTATTTTGAACTGAAACAGACTTTAAACTAGCAAACTTTATGGAAAGTTCAAAAACTGAGTAGAAACTTGCACTTTTTTTTTTTTTTTTTTTTTTTACTTATAGTTTAAAATCAATAAATAATTATATCTTTTTAATCATAAGTACCAGGGATGGAAAATTAAGTTTGAAACAAAAAAAAAAAATAAATAAAAAAAATAAAAATAAAATATCCAAAGAATCATTTTTGGAACCAGGAATTAGGATAAAAGTTCTGATTCCAATACCCCCAAAAGTTCCAATATTCTCGATTTTCAATTCCAATCAATTGTCCCATCACTATTTAAAACATCTCCAAATTTCTGGAATAGTCAAATGCATATATGGAGCCCTTCCTCAAAAAGAATCATGCACCAAATGACCCAACCGAAACATTAAAGAGGAGAACAGATTACTTGAATCCTCTTATTTCCAGTCAATAATTCTAAACCTACATCCACACAACTTTTAGGCCTCATTTCTACAAAGTTCTAAATGTCTGAACAGCAAACAATCAGTATTTAGTCATAAAATAGGCCTTCTTTTCACATTTATCAGAGTAAACATATAAATTGTCATAACAGAAATTAATGTCATGTCAGATGCAATATGGAATGTCAAGCACAAGTAAAAACTTGTGATTTGTCTGTTTATAAATAATTAAAAAATTACTTAAATGCTTTTATCCCTCAAATGAATAAGCTCTTAACAGAAGAAGGATATATAAATATAGCATATTTGATTAGTGGGTTGCAAGCCTAATTTGAAAGCTTAATTAGTAAATAATTCTTGTGTCTCTTAGTTGAAACTTACAAAAAGGAAAACAAGTTGACAAAACTTTGAAGCTAAAAGTCATTCATATAAACTGAATTGGTTTTTCATTTAATAGTTTTTTGTTTTTTTGGGGGGTTTTTTTTATTTACTAAAACTAAATTCTCAAAGAAAATTAAACATAACACTAATAGAAAATTCATAAGCCAAATACAAGATTCACAAGCCCCAAGGTCATACAAAAAGACAATATGGAGAATGCATTTGAACTTATTCTACAAATGATAAAAATTCAAAAAATAATAAGCATAAGATAAAAAATGTATATTGTCAAAGGGCAACGTGATTTTATTAATACAGTCAATTACTGTATTAATCAAAAATAAAAATTATCAAGTACAAAGCAACTGTAATACATGTTGAACTAACATTAGATTTAAATGGCTCCAAAAATAGATCTGATGTCTTTTGGAATGGTAACTGAGTGAGACAAAGGTATTTGTTAAAGTGTTGCAGTCCCCCAAGTTTTCATGAATGCACTTCCTGGATGAGGTTAACAAAATCTATATACTTTAATTCAACAGGAATTAAGAAATGGCACCACAGGAACAAATAAGAATCAACTAAAATGGAATACCTGAAAATGGTCTGAGGGTACACAGTGGAAACATTGCATCTAAAACAACATTTTTCTTTAACTCAAGCAAGGCAATAATGCCACTAAGACGCAAGGGGCTACTGATAGTGAAAGAGAAGGAGAAGACTTTAAGGGGAACCAGAAACCCAATCCTAAACAGGAAATAGGGATAATCTCTACTGTTCAAAAGACCAGAGAAGAGTGTGAACTGGACAATAAAAATAACAAACAATGAGACAAACAACAGTTCAATTAGATCAAAATATAATTAAATCAATTGTAATTTAGAAACTGTTGCTAACAATCAGCTGAAATTAGGGGACATAATGAGGAAAGAAGGCTTGGAACTCTCTGATTAACAATTCCAAGCCATTATCCATTACATCTCCCACACAACCAAGCTTACAGTAACTGGTATTCCTAAGTGGCCACCGATCTAGGTACTGACTAGGCTCAACATTGCTTAACTTCGATGATCATACTGGAACTGCTGTTTCAATGTGATATGGCTGTAAGCCATGATACCTGTATATAAATGATTGACTATAGTGAATAGAAAGTAGAGAAAATGTGTCCAAAACCTATTTGTTTATTTATGGATTTAACTGCAATCAAAACTACAGCATTGCTATTATTAATGAAATTTATCATTTGGTTGTTCACCTACTTAAAAAAAATAAAAAATAATATGAACATTTGTAATATTCAGACCGATGACGTAGGGGTTTTTTTTGTCTTTTTTTTTTAAATATTATTTATGGATTTTATCTAAAAAATGTTTCTTGTGAGAATTGATATTTACAACTTGTTGGTGACAAATATAAAATAAAATCAAGAGGTAAACAGTTTAATAATGACCAGAGAAAATAGTTCAATGTAACAGGGTTTAACATTCAAGATGATTATACAAATTAATATGATTAAAAGGAAAGTTTAATCAATTAAGGATACTATAAGTTCTAGTCCTAGAAATAGCAATAAATCATGTGAAATAGCTTAGAGAGAAATAATCATAACATTAATTACCGATAGTGATAGCTTAGTAATAAGTGATAATGATTTAGCATTGAACTTGAGATAGGAATTCGAGCATTACTCCAGATAAATTCTAACAAAACAAAACAAAAAAAAAAAAAAAAAAAAAAAAACAACAACAACTTGTAAGGATCTCGATTTTACTTACATTAATTCTGGAAAATTCAAAATGCTTACATGAAAGAATGAAGAGAAATCTTCCTATCTCAGCACTTTCTTCAAGGCTGAGCAAAATTCAATAATAATCTTTCTACCAAGCTTAGATAAGCAACCAATCAGTAAGATTGCTGGTGTATGACAGTTTGCATGATTTGCTAAACAATCCACTTTGCAGAAACTGGCAATGTTCTCAAGTGCTGATATCTGATGGACAGAATGGGTGAAAATAACAAGGAGAGATCAACAATACACGAGTGTGAATATTTGCATTCATCTACGCACAAACCAAACTCCAGCTGTAAGACTTGCATGTTTGTTTCAGCTGAGCCAAACCATTTAATCTTCTTACATCTCTCAGAAACAATTTAGTCAGCTTGAAGCCTATGGTTGTTAAACACTTCAATAGGTTTCATAAACACAAGCACATACAGCTTTGAGAATTAGAGCTTCTATCACATATATATACACACACAAAAAAATTATTGAAATGTTTACCTTTTAGCATGTACTAATTTCAAATTTTATTTTATTTAGTGACAACTCTTGCTTTGTTGTCCTATCACAGAATGCTCTGCTAGATAAAGCATTTTTAGCAAAATTGGACCTTCTTTGCCCATGCAAAAAAAACAAAAAACAAAAAAAAACACAATGTCAAAAAGTGTGTGTTTTTTTTTTCATTGATACCACTATTGCTTTAACTACATTTACTCAATGGTAATGTTTATAGTTTTAAAAAGGGATGATTAGAATTGTAATAAAATTTAAATATATGATAAACATGAATTTATACTTTTTTTCCTTGAGAATCTACCACAAAATATTAAACATTTATTAAATTGTTTATTTACAAGAATATTTACATTCTAAAAACTAATACAATTAAAATTAATGCAACACAATTATCATTTACCAGTTTATAAAAAACAAACAATTCTTATTCATAAATGTTTACTAAATTATTAAAATATGTAAATCAACTTTGACGCCAATGTTTTGCCAACCATTCCAATAAATGGCCTAATAAATAACTAAACATCCTAATAAATAACTAAACATCCTAATAAATAACTAGTGTTTATTACCTTTGTTATCAATTCTCAAGAACAAAGAAAATGTATAAATTCACATGTCTAGGTTTTATTATAATTCTAATAATCACTTTTCAAAACAAACATTGCAGAAGAGTGACATTAGTTAAAATAATAGTGGTATCCATGTGGGGGTATAAAAAAAAAAGAGAGAGAGAAACAAACATCCTTTTGACAATGTTTTTGGGCAGGCACAAAGGTCCAAGTTTGCAGCATTTTTAATATGGTCTTTAGAAAATCCTCAATTTTCAAAAGTTAAAACTTATTTTTTTTTTTTATGACTGACCTTGGGCCAGTCACAACTGACATTTGCTATTTCTTACCAAATGGAGGTTATCAATACACCTGATGACATAAGAATTAGTATATTTATAAAACTACAAGACATTTCAGAAGTCATAATACATTGTTTTCACACACACACACAAAAAAAAAAAAGTCCTTATGACTTATTTATACTAACCTTTCACATGTTTGATTATGGAAAATTTAATGTCATTTACAATCCTGGATGTCATAAGACAAGAGAGTACTTTTGTCTTTAAACAACAGTTATATAATCTTGACCTCTTTTTACCTTTTGAGCAGAAGACTGCATAATTCTGAAAGAATGCTGAAAATGAATCAACCATCAGCAAGAGAGAAAATTTACTACAGTTTGGAGATGGTAGGTATCGCGCCTTGACAAATAAGGGAGGTGAATAGAAAAGAATAAAGAAAAGAACAAAAATCTTCCAAATTTATCCATTTCTGGAACAAGAAAATATGTCTGATTAAACATGTTAACTGTTAAAAAAAAATTAAAAATTTATTTAGCAATATTTAGAAGAGAATGTAAAAAAAGATGCTTATTCATTAGATAAAAAGGAATAACCTTATAGACAATATAGCTATTGGTAAAATGTCCAAGGTCAATTTGGATAATGAACAGAATCTGATCTTAATCCAGTTTTAATCTGGTTTACTACTTGTTGACAAATAACAGCAGCAAGGCAAAAGTAGTGGTTTTTATTCTTGATTTAATACTAATACCCACACACAGAGAGAGTCAGTCAGAAATTGACACCATACCCACTCAATAAAAGGAGATTGGAATTTTCCAACATATTCATAAAGCCTTTCTATCAAAAAAGTGCATCAAACTGATGCTTATAAGTTGGGAGTTAGTTATTTAGAATAAACAACTATCTTCAAAGCACAAATACATATCATGTAGAAAAATAGAAAAGCCATACACACACAAAAAAAATCATTAAAAGTTAGTTTTCAAGACATCTGGATATCTATTAACATCTATCAGGAAAAAAAACAATAGTAAAACAAATATTAACTACAGCTGACTTTATTGACTAACATAAATTAGATAGTAAAACCTTCATTAAATTAACATTAAAAGCAACATATTTTTCAAATTGCTAAAAGAACAAGGTCAATTAAAGGCTTCATTTATGCTAAGCAATAGTACTTAATTTTTTTTTCTTAGTGTGTAGTGAAAAGTTCAAGGCCAGACTAACTTCTTAAAATCTCACTAAGTGATCCAATAGTTTCTTAACCTCTTCTTGGTCAGGCCAAACACCCCCTCAGATACAATCATTTTCTCAAGAATCAACTGAAAAAGTTCAAGCAAATTTTTCAATTACGTTTTTTTTTAAATTATACATTATAGACATTATAGGCAAAGGGGAAGCTTACTTTACAAAAAATTAAAGCTTTACTATTGAAACAAAGTTATAAATTGAACACTATAAAGTACCGTATGGTTTAATAAAGTCAAAAGCATCAGTAAATTCTTATTAACTATTAAATCAAAATCCTGGTTTAGTGTTTTATCTCATCAAATAAACTCATAGTAGATAAAATAAAAATTCTTACAAACCTATTTGAATGACATCTAAAAAGCAAGAATGCATATACAATTACTTACTTTGCTAATTAACAATAAAGTGTAATTATTTTGCTTTCATGATACTCACTGTATCTATTTCTGTATTGAAGATACAATTTATATTTTGTAAACATTTTAGTATTAAGGAAAGATTTTTAACAATACGTTGATTGAAAGTGGATTTTATATAATTAACCAAATATTTGTTGCCACCTTTCAGTCCAGTTATATAAAAAAAAGTATTTATCAAATTTTAACCCTTTTTTTTTTTTTATCTTCAAATGGAAGTATGAGTACATGAATAAAAACTGTTTGAAAAGCTCAAAACAAATTTGTTAGGCTTTAAAAGCAAAAGACAGACAAAAGTTTTTAAAAAAAATGGTCCTTATAAAGAGGTCGGAGACTTCAGATATTTAACAACAATCTGTTAATTCAATGATTACTGTTTAATATATAAACATGCATACAAGTTTAGGTTATTGCAAATTAATTACACGGGAGTGGTTTACCATAAGCATTAGAAATATGGATATTATAAAAAGAAAGAATAAAGAAATGTTTTTAATAATCTGTAAAGAATTGTCAACTTTTTTTGTACTCTAGATTTATTAGTAATATTAGATGAGAGGGAAATAAAAAAAAAAAAAAAAAGACAGGAATAAAAAATTAAATTTTTTTTTACATCCTGGCTTGCCAAAAACTAGTGTGTAATGGTAATGCTAGGTGGTATCACTGCACTTTGGCATCATGAAAATGCCCTTACCTATATCAGTTGTGCTCTTACATCTGGTGGGTCAATGTGAACACTGGCTAAACTGGTTATAGTAAGGCAATGTGAATTATAAGAGTTCAAACATGGCATGATAGTAGATGTCAGGCAGATGGGACATTCCATTTCTGAAACTGTTGGGGACATTTGATAGACTTCAATCTATATGTATCAGGAATACCTAATAGAAGGTATTTTCCTGCCCACTCTGTACAGTGCAATGGCTGGCTATATGTCTTTAATGATTGTGACCAAAGGTATCAGGCTAGAATTGTTAAAACAGTAACAGATATATGACACTGGCTCATATCACATCAAATGCAGAAGATAATTGGTGCACATCTAATAAATCAGTTCAATAGCTTTTTTTTTTTTTTTTTTTTTTTACTACTTCCATAGGATATGGGAGCAGAAACCAATCAGGATACACCCCTGTTAATATCATGACACTAGACAATACTTTACCTGGGCCTGTGACATTGATAATTGACAACAGAAAGATGACATCAAAATTCAACAATATCAATGATAATAGTGTTCACTGTGGTACAAATACCATGGATCAGAGTTGTCAACAA